TGACAAAGTGAGCCAGGACTTCACTCTGGTCTACACAGCTGGGTGCAAGACCAGGCTGACATCCATGTGCTGGGTGAGCTTATGGGAAGCCTACCCCTTTTCCAGGCCTCCGCTTCCTCGTCTCCACAAGGAGGGCTAGATGGGACCTCAGCCCATTCCTTGTATGGATCCTAGGATGGCCCCTTCTAGACAGAGAAGGAAAAAGGAACTCCCCTTCTGAGAAGCTCAGCCCTGGGAAGACCTGGGGGGTGGGAATAAGAATGGGCAGGTCTCTGTCTCTGCTCCCATTGCAGGAATCAGCCTTGACCAGTCAAGATCCACCTTCTCAGCCCTGATACCTGTGGGGTTTCCTGGACTACACACCCCTGCTTATTCCCCTTTTCCTCCTCCCAGCAACTTCTTCATAAAGCAAATGCCTTGGGGAGGAACTGGTTTTCCAGGAAAAGTGGTCTCAACAATGGCCCTTACCCACTCCCTATACACACACACACACACACACACACACACACACAACCAAGAGCCTACACAGCCTGCCTAAGGCAGTGCTCTCTCACTGCCTGGGCTTTTCCCTGAAATGTGCTTTTACTCACTCAAAGATAAGGAATAAAACCCTCCTATGCACCAAGCAGTGCTGAAAGCACTGAGGATGGGCAACACTGACACAGACTCTACCTCCATAGGACCAGCAGACCAGAGGACGACCATAGCACACCCCAAAATAGTACAATGTGAGGTTGTTGTAGGGACAATGTAAAAGGAAGAGGGGTAGAGGGTGTGGACAGTGACTGCTGGCAAGGGGAGGAGAAGTGGCAGATGATGGGGTCTGAAGAGTAAACACCGGAGCTGAGACATCAGCCAGGAAGAAAGGGCCAGCTGCCAACATCTGGGGAATAGCAGTTTGGGTGGAAGGGACAGAAAGCACAAAGATTGCCCAGCGAGGACAGTTCTCGTATGTCTGAGGGATGAGACAAGCAGTGTGTGGAGCAACATCAGGGGAGGGTGGCAGGTGCTGGTCCCAAGGAGGTGGGGCACTGCTGGGATGCAATTGGGAGGCAGGAGTACTTGGAGCAGAGGTTACCACCACCCCTCCCACCCTCCCACCCCGAGATCAGTGTGAGGAGCAGAAGTGGTCCACCCCTATTGTCACCTAGTTAACTCCTCATCCTTCAGATTCATTCCTCTGGGAAGCCGACCCTACTGCCCTGCCAGATCAGATCCCTGGTTTGTCTCATAGTACAGTTTCCCTTCTTCACACCTAGCTCCCTCATGATTTCATGTTTAGCTCTGGCTATTTGACTAGTGTCTATCTTGCCCATTAGCCTCTGAGCTTCCTGAGGGTAGGCATACATCTGCCTTTGCTCACCTTATGTCCCCAGCACCATGAATAAAAGCTGGCAGACAGTAGGTGCTCAATCACTGAACAGAATAAACATGCAAATCCCCAGGGTATCTCTCCTCCAGATCCCCACGCCTGTGTCTATCCCTCCCACAGAACCCAGCATGATGGAAACAGCAGCTGGCACCTACTCACACACACACCACCCCAGAAGGCAGGGTAGGTGTATTGCCTTTCACTGCACCCCAGAGGTTCCCTTCCATTGGACAGTTCTATTGTGCAAAGAACTGCCTAACCCATACTGACTTCAGCCTGCTGCTCAACCTATTCAAAGTCCCTCAGCCGCTTCAGTTTGAACTCAGCAGAGTCTGTACCCTGAAAGCATGCATGTCAGGGGCTAAGCACCACTTTTTCTCCCAGATGAGTAGCATGACCTGCAGCCTTGCAACAGGTGTTGTAAAGATGAATGGCTATATTTTACAAACCAAAGATCAATGTTCACGGACAGTAGAGTATAACTGGGGACAAAACTCTGGGATGTCTGACCTTCAGTGTGGCCTGGGAAAATTGGGAAACTTTGGTACATATTTTGAGAGCCAACTACTTTTTCCTATAAAAGTTCAAGGCTGATGACCCCTGGTGCTGTTTGAGCCCACTTAATTAACCAGCATATTCTTGAAACAAATATGCTAGAAATAAAATTTTGTTAACAAAAAATCATATTTTACATTCTCCATGAAAGTTTGATAGCTAGTAAATTATTTTTGCAGAATTTAAAGTATATTATATTTTTGGAGACAATTTGTATTAAAAGACCTTAAAATACACATGCCCTATGACCCAGCGATGGTCTAAGAGGTGATCCAATAAAGGGCTACCCCAAACTCGAGCTACAAGAATAATCACTGCTTTGTTTTTTTTTGTTTGTTTGTTTGTTTTAAAGATTTATTTATTTATTTATACAAGCACTGGGTATAGTCAGAAGCACGGGAGGGTGAGAGAATTCACCAGAGCCAGAGCGGGGAGCAGAACAGGCAGAAGGACCAAGGTACACTGCTGAGGGGAGCAGCGGGCGGCAGGAGAGGTCTGCGCGCCATGTGGGACCCTCCTCCGGTGGCCGGGGAGCAGCCGGGGATCGAACCGGTGCCGCGGAGGCTTCGGGCAGCTTCACAACCCAGTGCTCAACCGCTGCGCCACTGGGGAAGCCCAATAATCACTTCTTTGAACAGCAAATGATTGAAAAGAATCCAATTGCCCAGCAGAGATTAATTAATCAAATCAACCAGGATATACCTGTACAATGGAACATGCCCCATCCAAAGTAGTAGCATCACCAACAGGCAGCACTTACTGAACACTTTCTCTGTCCAGAGCCCACATTTAAGCGTTACATGCACCATCTCATTTAAGTCTCCCTGTGCAGTTGGTACCATCGTCACCTTCATCTCACATAGCAGAAAATCAATACCTTAAAGAGAGTTAAGTCATTTGCCCAAGGTCACCAGACAGGTAGCTAGGATTGTCACCTGGCAGTCTGACTCCAGACACCAAGCTACTGTACAGCCTACTGTACCATCCTACTATACAGCCTCAAATGATGCCATTTAAAGAGACACTGTGGAAGCAAGACCAGTCACACAGAACTGTTGATGATACAGCAAAAGGTAAAACAAGCAGATTATGAAATAGGCCGTGAAAGCTGACCCCATTTGCGCCCATGCACATAAGCAAAGAGAGAAGGGTCTGGAAAGAAAACACTAGCATCTTGGTGTAGATCACTGAGTGGGTGGAAGTGTGTGTGTGCATTTGAGTTCTCTTCTGCTCGTGTTTTCTGATCTTTCCATACAAATGTGCTAAGTTTGTATTTAAAAACATAAATTTGAGTTATTTTAATTCATCTTCTGCATAAACCTGAGCTGCTGGCCTTGCATTATGTACAGATACCACTACATGCACGGGACTCGGGACGTGGCCTGAAGCCAGCTCACAGGCTCTGCTGGCTCTTCATTGCTCCCCTTCTCCTCCATGCAGCCAAGACTCTCCAGTTGGGAAGAGACCGTAAATATTCTTCCCATCGCCCTTTAGCAGCCTGCCCACCAGAGGGTCCCCTCTGAGCACTTGTGCCCAGAGGGAGCTGCTGAATCGACAACACAGAGTTGTGAACTAGAAGAGCTGTATAAGCTGGAGAATCCTGGCAGTTTCCCTCCTGGCTCCAGCTCTGGCCTGGGAGCCAAGCCCAGGGACCCTGGGAGTGTGAGATGCTCCATTCCCTGCCTCTGGGTCTATCAAGGAAGCACTTTACCAAGAAGTGTGGGACAGACAGGCCTGAGGGAAGCAGAGTGGCCAGGGGTGGGAGGCTCAGTTCTACAGCCACGTAAGGTGGGGCCTCTCCTGTCCTGTCACCAGGTTCCTGGTTTGTGATCTTGGGCTAGTTACTTCTTCCCTCTGAGCTGTTTCCATGCCTATCAAATAAAGAATTTAAAATACCAACTTGAAAGGAAACTTATAAGGATCAAAATTATATACATATATATATATGTATATATGATGTCAATAAGTAACATTTTCTGGGAACCAACTACTGGTCAGATACTCAGTGATATACTTTATATGTATGAACTTATTTAGTTAGTTCTCAGAGCCATCCTGTCAGTCACTGTGACAGTTCCCACTTTACACCTGGTGAAATGAAGGTTGAGTGTTGTGCAGTCACTTGCACTGATAAGTAGCTGAGCAGGAATTTCTATCTCCACACCTGGGCCCACAACACTACACCACACAACCTGGCACAATGTCTGGGACGCGTACTTCATCCAGATTGTGATCATTGTCATGTAACCCCACTGGGCCTCTGCCTCGCTTTGGAGAATGGGGACAGTGAGGATCCCCCCACACAATCTAACTCCACTCTAGATGATCTCATCCATGGGGTCATATACCAACCTCAGGAAGCCTGCCTGTCAGAGTGACCAGACAGACTGCTGCACACACTCTCTGTGAGCCAGCTCCAGTGACCACAGGCAATGGCCTTCCTGCTGTACAACCCACCGCCAGCAGCCTCCCTCCAGATCTGGCCATGTGCTCTGGCCACCAGGGCTGCTGGCCCAACAGGGACAGCTCAAGCCCTAGGAGTCAGGCCTGCTGGCACTGACAACTGGAATCCACCCCAAAATCCTGTCAGAACATCTCAGAGGATCTGGGCCATGGGCCTGGGTCTCCCAGGGGCTGAGAACAGCAGTGTGTCTCTAGAGGGTGAATCAGGAAACAGTGCCCTTAGGCAGCCTCTCCACAGCCTGTTGGAGCTGGGCACAGGATGTGTGCGTGCGCTTGAGTCTGGGTGTGCCGGTGTGTGAAGGCGCGCACGTGTGGGAACGAGACGGTAGCGGATGTGAGTGTGAGTGTGCGTAAACGCACGGCTTGCAGTGTGCCGCGGAGATCGCGACCTGAGGCAGGCTGCGGGCGGGCGGGGAAGGTCTCCTCCCCCCACAGCGTTGAGAAATCTCAGTGAGTCACCGAGTAGTTCTGCATATTAATGAGCTCGCTCGCTGCGAGGGCAGGAGCGGATTTAAAAGAGGCCTGGGCTGGCGGAGGGAGGCTGTGGAGAGAGCGCAGAGCAGAGCGCAGAGCAGAGCGCACAGCTCCAGCCCCGAGGCACCCACCGACGGGTGCGGCGAGAGCCAGCGGGGCCAGGAGGCTCGTTCCAGACCCGAGAGGCGAGCGGGGCGGCATCTCCGGGTCGCCGCACAGACACTCGGGCGCCCTCCTCGAGTCCCAGCTCCAGCCCCTCCGGCCAGCATGAGGCTTCTGACGGCCGCGCTGCTTCTGCTGCTCCTGGCGCTGTGCGCCGCGCGCGTGGACGGTGAGTGCCCAAGCAGTCCCAAATGCTGCCCCGTCCCGTTCTGGGAAACCCAAATGCCAACTGCTAGCTGCCTGCGGCACCAGGGGTTCTGGGTGGGCCCCGAGGGCAGATTAGGGGCAGCAAACCCCGCGCACAACTGAGAGGACCCTGCGCGCTCTCCCGCAGGGTCGAAATGCAAGTGCTCCCGAAAGGGGCCCAAGATCCGCTACAGCGACGTGAAGAAGCTGGAGATGAAGCCAAAGTACCCGCACTGCGAGGAGAAGATGCTTATGTGAGTTCTGGCTCCTCACGCGGAGCTTGCGCGCGCTGTCTTAACCCGGTGCTAGGGCACAGCCTGGGGCTGGGTCAGACTGACAAACCTTTCTCTCCCAGTTTGGCAAGGCCTTGGGGAAGCCTTTGTAAATGCCCGGCGAGTCCTTAGGACGCTGGCGCGACAATCTGGAAGAGTTTGGAAGGAGGGTCACTGTCCTGTGCTCCCGAAACAGCCTCTTGGAAGAGTTCACCCCTGCGAGGATTCAAATGAGTGGCCTCAGTGTCTGCACTGCCCACCTTTCTAGGGCCATCCCGGGTTAGATGGTTCCTGTGCGTCCACTTAGAACACCCAGACTGAAATCATTTAGAATGCACCCAGAACTACTGCGCTTGCACCCAAACTCTGAACCTTGCTACCTCTGTTACAGGGGGATTAAAGCAACTATTGTCTCAAGTCCTCAGGCTCTCCCTCTAGAGCTTTTTTCCCTCCAATCAAGGGGCCAGGGATGGCCAGTTTGGGGCCGCTAGTGATTTCATTTTGAAAATGACCATGGCTCTGCCATCACCAGCTGGGATTCTTGGGGGTCAGGGAGGCTGAGCAGGGCTGTGCAGAGTTTCTGCTGGGGTTAATGTGCCACGTGGCTGGAGCCCTGCTTGGTGGGGTTGTGGGGAATATTTTAAAAACTGGGGCAGAGTGAGAGAACACTGCGTTTCCTTGCTCCTTGCCTTCCCAATTAACCACTTGAGGCCAGCACCACTGTTTCCCCATCAATACGCTCTTGGCCAGGAAGGGAGCCCTTGGCAAAGCAGCTACCAAATATCTGCCACGGACCATTGGCCCCTCTTCCTCTCCCCCAGAAACAAGACACACTTTATTCTCAGTCTGGGCAAGTGCCTTCCGTCCAGCGCACCCGCTGGCCCAAAGGCCTCCACACAGAGTCAGTGAAGGCAGCCCCCCACCCCCACTGCCACCAGGAGGCTGCTCAGTCACTGGGCCTGAGTTGAACCCCCCTGCCTGCCTTCCGGGCACCTAAATTAACCTCCCTGTCCCTGCCCCTTGCCTTGGGAGACCCACGATCAAAAAAAATCCCCAGAAAATCCTTTTTGGTTGGTGCCAGGGGTTAAATTGTCTGGAGGAGGGGCTATAAGACCCTCTGGTCTTCCAGCTTGAGGGCTAAACATGACAGGGACATTGCAAGTTAAATCTGCATTCCTCTAAGTGCTGAACAGCACTCCATATGCCAAGAGAGGTCAGGAGATCTTGCAAGGGAGGAGAAACAGGACATCTCAAAAGGACAGAACCCTCAGTAAACAGGCTTGCCCTTTTACCTGACTATACTTCTCAGAATAGAGAGGAAACTGACAGCCAGGCCAGTGCATACAAAAACTTTATGTAGCTTGTGAAAACCTGCAGGGGCCTCATGATGTCCTGACACCATCATCACTCCCTACCACCCCACACCCAATCCTACCTACACCTAAAGGGCTGGAGGCTCTGCAGCCTTCTCAAGCTCCTAAGATTCTCTAGCTCAGAAAAGGGGCCAGCACTTTTGCCAAAGCAGGTTTTCAGTCACAGAAGCTGAACAGAAGCAAGTTTTCCAACTCACCCTGAGTCACCCAGAAATCTCTGCTAAGGCTAGGGTGAGGAGCGGGGAGCAATTTGCTTTGCAAGTGGGAGTCTTTGCACTCAGAAGGGTCCGGGAGAGTCTAGACTCTAGGAAGGGTAGTATATGTCATATGTCCAATGAGCTCTCACCAAAATCCTTGGCACCCCAGAACTTCCAAGGGCAGGGACACAGGACCCAGAATTTCTGAGTTATTGCTGAGGTCAGAAATCCTCCTGTCTTCATCTCACAACCAATTTTACAGTCCCAATATTGTGACAGAATATTTGAGTACTGTGGTGGGACAGCTGGGTGTCCTCTCCTGCTCCCCTATTCCTCCCCTGCTCCCCAACCTTCAGAAGGAGAACCTAATTGACAAGGGGATTTTTACAGCCTTTGCCATGTCCTTTCATTCCAAGAGCGAAACATTCATGCATTGGCAAAATTCGCACAGATGGCTACAGTACCTTCCATAGAGGAGGAAACCACTGGAACCCCCTCTGAATCCAGCCCCAAGCTGGAGACCTACGAGGAGGGACCAGGCCCAGGGAGAGACAGGTCTCAGAGAGGGCCAGGGAACGCCTGGCATTAGCAAAGAGCTGTCCCTGCCCCTGGAAGCACAGGTCATAGTGGGGAACTAGAAACACGAAGTTCAGAGAAGGGAAGAGAAATGATGCCCCCGAACTATTCTGCCCTCATTCTAGCAGCAAGATCTGATCTTCTCCATTAGGAAACTGAGTTCATGGCAACACTGCTCCCTTCCAGATCTTGGCCCATGCACCCTTTACCTATGGGGGACAAACTCCCCTTTCTCCCTTTCCATTCTTCCCACTGCAACTTCCAACCGTGCCCTATTGCCCCCTCACTCCCCAGCACCCCAGTCCACCTCTATACCTTATTCTTGCTGTGAACCTCACTTCTCACCTTCCCCTGGGTGGTCCCTCCTTCTCCAATGCCATCCTTCCTTCTCTAACCAGAAGCTTCTCTTGTGGCCTGACTGGCCCTGGCTGAGGGGGCACAGCAATCCTGGGCAGCAGTCTCCCCCTCCAAGCTGGAACCCACACACTAAGGCTTGTCTTCCCCTTTGGCCAGCGCCTTATAGTAACTATTCACTGTGCATCTGCCGGGTGCCATATACGTCCCATAGATTAGAACCTTTAATCATCCCAGTAGCCCTAAGGGGCAGGCAGGTCCCATTGTTATACCCATTTTACAGATGGGCAAACTGGATTCAGAACAGTTAGCCCAGATGCCACAGACAGACCTAGAATTCAAACCCAGCTCTGTGTTCATTGATGTCACCTGCTTCTCTCCCACATGGCTAGGCCTCCACTAGGTATTGGCACATTACCAGAGAGAGCCCTGAGGGAGCTCACCCTCCTGCCTGAAGGTGGGATAGCTGGCACTTCATTCTCAGGAGCCAAAATGGGCTTCAAGTCTGACAAGACAGCTTTGGGATCAGCCAATGCTGGGGCCCAGGATAGTCTGCAGGGGAAGTGAGGTTTGAAGCGTCAGAGACCACAGTACCTGCAGGGCGTGTCCTGGCTACACATGGAGCCAAGGAAAGAGGTTTAGAGGTTTTGGCACATGCACCTTGTGGCATTAGCTCTACCTCTCCATCCCTGCTTCAGAGGAGCCAGAAGAATACCCCGATGTTCGATCCTCAAGGGGAATGTGAGCCTATAGACATCACCCTGCTTGGGAGTCAGGATGGGGGACAATCCTAGACTCTGAGAATTGGAGGGGTGGAGAGAAAGTGAGGGCCACTCACCCCATCAGGCTTAGACCTTAACATGGAGCCAGAGATTAAGGGGACACAAAGAACCTTCCCAAGAGCCAGCCAGGGAGTGGGCACTTTGGCTCTCTTGAAAGGAGGGAGGAAGCCACTGTCTTTACCCTGATTTGGGGCCCTGCTTTGAGACAGACCAGGGTCACCTACAGGCCACACTGAATGGTTATCATTCCGGTTCCTCAAACCTCCACCCCATCCTGCTCCATTTCAGCATCACCACCAAGAGCGTATCCAGGTACCGGGGTCAGGAGCACTGCCTGCACCCCAAGCTGCAGAGCACCAAGCGGTTCATCAAGTGGTACAACGCCTGGAATGAGAAGCGCAGGTATGCCCCGCCTCCTCTCACCTGCCCTCCCCCTTCCCAGCAGATGCACGTTCTAGGCCCCTTCTAGGTCATCCTGCCCAATCTGACACGTGCGTATCCACCACAATAGCTGGGACAAGCAGACACCCAGCCTCTGCTTACATAGCCCCAGGAACTAGGACCCCATCACTTGAAGCAGGCCACTTGTCTTGGACAGACAGTAGTAAGCATCAGGCATTTCTCCTCTTGTGGACCAAAGTTTTCCTCATTCTAACTTTTATATTACAGTCTCAGTTCATCTTACTTAAGTAACTTAAGTTCTCTGACCCCCAGCTTCCCACTGTCAAATGGCTCAGTGAGCACCTGGCCTGGTTCTTCTCTGTGATTCTTGTGGAGTGAAACGTGACCACTTATATGTCATGTTTATTAGTGATAAAACTGTGGGTACAACCACAGGTGATGAGGAAGACTCCTTGCCAACAACGCATTCTCCCTTAAGGCGCTATATGCCCCCTGCTGCCCAGAAACCTGACAGGCTTCTTCCCACACTGGGGCAGGGAGGGACCTTGGGTTTCACCCTTTAAAATCAGAGCCACCTTTAACTCCAGGGGACAGCAGTGGCCAGATGGCCAAGCCCTGAGCCAGATCCCTGCCCTCTGTGGGATGTTTCCCTGTTATCAGAAGATGGCTTCTCAGCTATAATGCCCTGAGGTCCTGTGTCTGGCCTAAGGGAGGCATGTTCCTGGCCCCCGTCTGCCACATATAGGTGAGCCTGTCCTGGAGCAGATCAAGTCCTCCCACACTGGACCTATTACACCTATACATGCATAGCATGGCCAGGGGAACACGCACGGGGGCAATGCCTGCACTTCGGCCCAGAGAGGGCTAAGTGGGGTGGGGAGGGACTGGCTTGAGAGACTGGCATAGAGTCAGGTCTCCAGTGTCACCTTCCCACTCCCTATAGCAGGCACCTCCACCACCCGCATTTCCCAGCCTGACCCTTCCACCCTGAGCTCGGCCCATGACCAGCTCTCCCACAGCTGACACTCGGGTTCAGCCGCAGTACCTGAGCCTTTTCTTGCTGCTCCCAAACTGCCTCATCTGCAGTTACTTGAAATAGAAAGTGATGAGAGGGAGAGATTATTTTCTATAAATCTGATGGGAATGCAGCCCTCTTTCTGGTCAGGGCAGGTACTCACGTGGCAAAAGCAAGACCTGTCCTGTCTATTATCTGTCACCCTCTGGGCTGTGTGTCATCACAAGTGGAACAAGGCCAACCCTAGGGCCTGTTCATGGAAGTCTGAGAGCATGGGACTGCTGGGAGACCCTCAAGCCTTTGCTGAACTTTGTCCTTCCCCTCCCCCGGGGCCACAGCTTTGATGGAGAGAAGCAGGCCTGGCCCCTGCAGCCCTGCCTTTTTTATTTCTGCAAATTTCAAAGATGAGAGCAAAGTGAGCACCTTGTTATCCAGCCTCCCATCATTTCATTACAGAATGAGTTCATCTCTTGCTCTGGAGTTACTGGATCCCTCTCCCTCCCCAATTCCTTCCAACCACCCCCACCAAAAAAAAAAAAAAAAAAAAAAGGTTTAGGATGTCTTCATGAGTGGAGATAAAGGAACAAGCTGAAGTGCTCTTTGCTAGACCTAGGGTGAGAAGAAGGCAACTAGGTGGCTCATGGCCCAAGGAGGCCACTGGAGAGCTCTGAGCCCTGGGCTCTGGGCTGCCCTGATGATTACAGTGCATATCGTGGTGACCTTACTCGGAAATCAGGAAGGAGGCAGAGGGAGCTGTGGACTGTGTGATGTGTGGCCCCCAGGGGCAGCCACTGTGTAGAATGAGCAGGATTAAAATTCCTAAATAGACATGGTGAAGAGAAAGGTCAACTTGTGAATGCACACAGGCCTGACCACTACTGGAGAAAGTGACCACCAGGCAAGGCTCTCTGATGCCCAGGCCTACCCACCACCCTTAGTTTTCAGGCAGTAGCTTCTAGAACCGATGTCTGGAGTATATGCTTTCTTGGAGCAAAACACAAAGATCAAGTGGAGGGAGACGATGCCCTGACCTATTTTCTCTAGGCAAGTGCAGACGGGGACATGGACAAGAGGGGCAGGAGCAGCCCACCACGCTGGAGACGGACCTGTCCCCACCACTGACAGTCAGTGGTCGCTGGGCAAAGCTCAGTGTTTGTGCCTCAGGTTCCTCATGTACAAAGAGAGTTTACTCCATGAGCCTCTGAGGATAAAATGAGATGGCAGAAGTGAGGCTCTTAAGAAGGAACAAAGCCATTGTGGTGAGCTTTTGTGGCGTGCGTGCGGGCATCCTTGAGATGCTCCCGTCTCCCCCAGCCCCCTCATCCCCCCACCCACGCCCCACCACCCCAGGCTCCTGTAGTCCTGGGAGGGGCACCCTAAAAGGATAAGATTGAAGCAGCTGAGCCATCAGCCTGTGCATTGCCCCCATCATGCCCCCTGAGCCACTTACAGTATGTTTTCTCCTCCTAGGGTCTACGAAGAATAGGGTGAAAAGTCCGATGGGAAAACTTCACACCGGTTGGGATACGAGCAAAAGACTTTGCAGATTGAAAACAAAACAAAACAAACAAACAAACAAAACAAAACAAAAAATCCTTTCTTTCTCACAGGCATAAGACACAAATTACATATTGTTACAAAGCACTTTTTACCAAGGGTCAGTTTTTACATTTTATAGCTGTGTGGAAAGGCTTCCAGATGTGAGACCCGTCTCTTTTGCGCTCCAGACTTCATTACAGGCTGCTTTTTACCGAAAAGGGGGAAACTCATGCCTTTCCTTTGTAAAAAATGCTTTTTGTATTTGTCCAGACATCTGAGCTTTATAAGCGCCTGGGCGGAACAGGGAGCTTGGTGGAGACGTTTCAGAGCAGCGTGGCTCTGTTCCTAGCACAGGAGCTTCCGCTCCCCGGTCCTGGCGCCTCAGCACAGCTGCCGCCGGCTCTCCTGGGCTCAGGGTCGGCTGCGGACTCTGGGGGACTCCACAGTGGCCCCCGTGGCCGGGCAAGAGGGGGCAGATCTCTCTCTCTGCATCTGTTCTTTGAGGAACTGGACTTGGGCTGCCAGGGCAGTGCGCTTGACCCCCGGGGTTAATTTTGACACACTCTAGGAGACACTTCCAAGATCCTGGGGTGGTGAAGCAAAGATCCTTAAGGAAGGGGCTGGGTTTTCTCTCTGACCTGAGGGTCTGCAAAAGGTTCACTGCTACGATAATTAACGCTTTGGAAGCACGTTAAGTCCCCAATACTGTTAGCGAAAACCTTAGGAGAAAACTTACAAATCTATGAATATACAAGCTATAGCTACAGACGTGCATTCTGTTGACAAGAGAGAACCTTAAGCATGTTTCCTTCCCCCGTCTCTGCGGGACGTGCAGCACTGAACCATCTATCTGTGATCCCCCTTGCGATTTTCATGTTAAACAGTGCAGTCCTGAAAGCTAAGACAACCACGCACCCTGTCCTTTGTAAATACACTCTGAAGAGCACCCCTCCACCCTTCGCCCCTCCAGGACATGCCATGCTGTACTGCTGTGGCCTGTGTTACGGAGATGTCAGAAACCATTAGTGTCGCATGCAGGTTTCATATTCTTTCTAAGACAAAAAGAAAAGTAATAAAATATATTTGAAATGTACCAAAATTCTAGGCTACTGACTTTATTTTTCTATTTAAGCCAGGATGACAATCGAATAAACATCTACCACATCCTGAATAAACAGACACAGATGTACCAAAGGAAACCTGGTGTTTCCCAAATACCTATCAACACTGCACCTCCATGGAAAGTCATTCCAGTCCCAGAGACGGAAGCCAGGTCTTAAGGCCAGACCTGCATATGTGGGGACAGCTACATCAGAGCAGCCCCGTCAGTTCACATGGGACTGCAGAGTCACACTGTGATCATTCGGAGAAGATAGTACATGAGTCTAGATCCCTGAGGTTCAGGGCCCCACTACTGCAGTGGATTTGGGGGTGAGGGGAGGACAGGAGTGCCCACCCAGAGGCTGTGGGGCTCTGGACCCACACCTAAGTAGATGGCGCAGCTCTGTGTCTGCTTTTGCAGGTTGGACTGGCCCAGACAGAACAAGCAAAGCACTCAGGACACAGGGCACGGCGAGCACTTGGTCGGCACAGGTTCATGTAATATGCACAGGCCACGCCACTGCCCAGGGTCCCACATCTCAACTGCATCCCATCAGCCAAGCCCTGATAACCCTGGGCCCACCGGGTTATCATTAGCACACAAGCTTTCAACCTGTCTTGTCTGCTACACTGTGAGCCAGGAGCCAGTCACACATGCCCCCTTCCCCTTCGAGGATGCTTTCCTGAGGTGCATGCTGTCCTTAGGGACACACAGCATGAACTGTCCTAGCAGGTTCTCGGCAGGGTGCTATCACAGACCCATTCCATCACAGCCTCATCTGTCAGCACCCTCACACTAAATGTATTCCTGAGGAAATTGAGAACCAGGGAGGTTGAGAAAGTTGCCCGTGGTCACTCAGCTGATTGCTCCAATGAATAAACTGTTTACAATAGCTAAGCTTTGGAAATAGCCCAAATGCCCAAAAATAGATGACTGGATCAAGAAGATGTGGTCCATATACACCATGGAATATTACTCAGCATTCAAAAAAGATAAACACATGCAATTTGCAGCAACATGGATGGCGCTGGAAGGGATCATGCTCAGCGAAATAAGCCAAAAAGAAAAAGAAAAATACCGGATGGTCTCACTCATAGCAGGAATCTAGAAAACTTAAATAAGGGACCAGGAAAATGAATAACTATAAGACAGTGAAAATCAAAATCAACAAAAAACTATGAACCAGAGACACTTTTTAGGGGTGGGGGGGCAGGAGGGGAGGGATTGGGGTCAGAATGGGGGGGTTGCAATTGTATGGGGAATATAAAAATAAAATTTATTATTTAAAAAAAATTTTAAAAAAACAACAATATACAAACCTGAAAAAAAAAAAAAAGAATGCCTGGGTGGGTCCCACTTTTCCTTTCATAACAGAAAGAAGAGAGCTGGGACAGGAGAGTCCAGAGACCAGCAGACAGGGCAGCCCCAGAAGGACAGCGCGGACGGGCAGGGAGAGCAGAGACCAGGCTCCTCTTTGCAGGAGCTCTGAGCTCTGCTTGGCCCCACATCCGCACCAGTGGGGCTTCACAAGGGAGGGGCCACGACAAGGAAGTCAGCTTAAAAAGCCCCTCCCCTCCTCAGTCCCCAAACCAGCACCCTACCCCTGCCCCATCATGCAAAGGCTGCTCGTTGCTGGCACCGTACACAGGATGCTCTGCGTTTCTCTCAAAGTTTCCAGTTTCATCTCCCACTTATTCTAAACACTCCACACACCCCTCAGTCCTGCTCAGGGGCCTCCTCTCTCCCTCTGAGGACCTAGTGCCAGCAAGTGGTCTGACCTCCCAAATCCCAAACTGGATTCTTGACAGCAATAACCATGCCCCTGACAGCATGCCAGGCTCTGACCTGAGCACTTGCCCCGTGTGCTCTGCCCCTGCCCTCCTGTCAGGCTGTGCCAAAGGCCCAGAAGAGTCAAGCACGGATGGTGAGTCTTCAAGCACCAGTCGTCAGAGAGCAGAAGGAGTGGGGTTGTGGGTGGATGTCTCAGCCCCGACAGAGACCGTGTGTCCCTGGAGAACAAAGGCTGGCGATGCTTCTGTGGGTGATTTGGACCCTGCTTGCCAACAGTGGGCTCAGCTAGACCCCTAAGAAGGGACTCTCAGTCCCAGCACTTCACCAAACGCTAAATGAAGGCCCTCCTGTGCCCATGATGGTGCCCAGCTCCAGGGAAAGATGCCCTTTTTCCCACCTCTGGAGCCATTTTCCATAGTTTTTCTCCTCTGGGTTTCCTAGCAGCCCTATGTCCACCCACCACATTCCAGAAAGGACAGTAACCGGTGCAGCAAAGCAAGGCCAGGCTGCCTTTCTGAGCAGCAATCCTGGGCCTCCCTGGGGAGAGGAGAGCATGGGGCAGCTCAGGCCCTGGTGCAGATCCCACTCCAGAGCCTCACTCCCTCAGACAGGCATGGTTAGAACTCACATGCCATGGCCTGATCCCCCACTCCGACAAGCCAGTCCTGAGCAGATATCTATGGTGCTCCAGGCCTGACTCCTGGACAGCCGAAGCCTCAGAGAGTGCCAGCCCAGCTCTGCAGACCCTCTTCTTCCCCCAGCCAAACCTCCTCAGACCCCCTTCACCCTGTGTGTTTACCTGGGGTCAGAGCAGCTACATAATGTCAAGGCCTGATGTAAAAGATGTAGGTCGCCCTGATCAAAAATTATCAAGAATTTCAAGGTGGCAACAGCAGAGCTTGGAGCCCCAGCACAGGCTCTGTGCACCTCACATGTCACACACATCTGGAAGCACAATTTGGCCCTGAGTTATCACAGGATTTGCACTGCAATTTAACAGTTTCATTTAAACGAGCATCTAACAAGATGTGTTCTCAGAAGCCAGGAACTGTGTCTTACCCTTCTTTATACAACCTCCCAGGCCCTGTGAGAGCACTTAGGAGGCTCTCAAATGCTGTGACAGGCTGAGTCTAAGAAGCTCCCTGAGATTATACCCTCTGCACCTTTCACTGAGCTACCACTGTGCGCAAAGCACGTTGCTGAGCACCTGGAGAAGAGCGGCTGGGGAAGGTGTCCTTAAAGGGCAGAGTTCAATCACTCACTCACCCACAGTGCCTCCTTATAAAGCACATGCTCAGTGCAGGAGACAGAGCTGGATGCTAGGACCATCCCAGTCTGCCAGGCAGACAAACACACCACCTGAAATTGCATGTCACTTTAAGCATTCTGCTAGAGGGTTGCATAGCAGGGTCTGGTGGCACCCCAAATGGACACCACGCCTTGGAGCGGGTGAGCCCTGACCAAGACCCCGTCAGTCCTAGCAAGGCTCGTGGCAAATCACAAGTTGTCCTCAGGCAACAGTAGAAAGTGTTGATTCCATCCTAGCTCTGACATGTCGGTGGTGCCTTGTGAGCACGTGCATGAGACAGGTCAACGGAGACCGAGAGCGCCAAGGGCAGAAAGCAAGATGGCTGAGGAAATTCAGAGGGGTCTCAGGAAGGATCATGGCCCTGCTAAACAGTCACAGACACCAACCACAACTCCAACCTCCATTCCCATGTCAACCATCTCTCTTCCCTCCTTCGTCATCACCTCCAGTCTGTTCTGCCAGAGACCCACGGCTGGGGCCACCCCAACTTCAGGGGTAAGGAAACCCACCACAGCATTTCACCCTCCCACAAGGAAGACACTATGCACTGATTTTAAGCACTTAGGACGTTTTCCTTCTGCCCCCTCCTTTTTGGAAAAGTTGAATAAATATTCCTGAAGGTGATCAAGAAAGCAGTAACACCCAAAGCAATTTTCTTACTTTCAAGGTAACAACAGCCAGCTTCGTCCACCCAGACGGCCCTGACCTGCACCACCAGAGGGCAGCAAAATGCAGGGAGGAGTTCCCTGAGGCCTGGGGACACCCGTGACACAGGGACTGCCGTAGGCATGGCTTTCTGTGAGCCAGACCCTGTGCTGAGGGCCTGATAGGCCCTATCCCATTGAATCCTCTATTATTAGCTCCAGTATGGATGAGGAAACCAAGGCTCAGTGAGGTGAACACATTCCCCATGTTCACGAAACTAGCAGGGTTCTATCCCCCGCCCACAGAAGACTCTGCCAGGACCTCAGTCAGAGGCTCACCTCCTGTCAATAATCCCAGGCTAACTTGGGCAGGTCAACCAGCCCCAGCCAGGTTTGCTTTGCATGCGGCTCGGCTCCTTTCCCCTTTTCAAGGCAGGAGACTGTAGCAGCCACGTGCGCCCCGAGGGTGCCGCCCACTGACCCAACAAAGCGAGCCTGCCTGTGAGAAGCCGGGGCCCCCCCCCCCGCACTTGGCAGACACAAATTCCGCTGGAACGGGAGCAACCAGAGATTTTATCAAACCCCACAGCCACCACCAAATAGGATGACTGAACAAATTGACTATGACAGCTTTGAATTCAACCGAATGTTCCGTTACAAACAAGTTGAAAACATCAAGAAGTGGTTTTTAAAAATGAATTCAAAGCTGGATTTAAAATAATCAGCCAGGGGGCCTTCCTGGTGGCGCAAGAGGTTAAGCATCAGCACTATGAAGCGATTCGCAGGTACTGCAGCGTGAGTTCCATCCCCGGCCAGGGCGGTGACCCACGTGGCGCAGCAGACCTCTCCTGACTTGCCTGCTGTTCCCCTCAGCAGTGTATTTCAGTCAGTCTGCCTGTTCTCTCCCCCACTTTGTCTCTGGTGAATCCTCTCACCCGCCGCACCTCTGGCCTGTACTCCAGCACTTGTATGCATAAATAAATAAATCTTTAAAAATAAATAAATAAAATAATCAGCCTGTTTGACCGCGAGGAGTTGATATTCTGGGATGAGTAGTAGGCACAGTTCACTGAATGCAGATGAGGCTTCTCATCTAATCTTCAGTCACCTCCCGCTCCCCCTGTTCACCGCAGCAAAAGGACAGTGAAGCAACAGTCTCTTTCAAACTGTTGTTTCCTTAGAAGTCATTTGAAGACAACTCTCACAGGAGTCATTTCTAAATTATAAAGCCTTTCTCTCTTCCCGCAGAAATAATGACCAGCAGAGACAGATTGGAGTTCAGTATTTGCATTGGTACAGCCAAAAAAAAATTTATGAACTAAGAAAATGATGAGAGAAAGAATATCTTTCAACTTTTAGAGCTGCTAAAATACCAGCCCTGCTGATACCCCATACCTCAAGGAGCAGCAACGTTTAATAAAAACAACAAAATCACAATCAATATTTATTGACTGTTTTCTCACCAAACTCTATTACTAGCCCCATCTTACAGATGATGAACTTAAGCAATTAGTCTGAGGTCACACAGTGGGCAAGTGGTCATGGCAATGTTAAAATCTTTGAATAGCCTAAGTGGGGGTGACCACATGTCCTGGTTTGTCTGGGACAGCCCTGTCTATGACCGTCATCCCAGAGTAATTATAAAGAATTTCACTCAGATGAATTCTAGTGTACTGGATAAATCATATGACTGTCCCACTTACAGGACTGAGCAGGAAAGTACACAGGGTGTGGGATTGGGCGGTGTCTATGAAACAATTAGTCAACCTCTTCCCTTGAACAACTTATTTCTAGATGAGTGTGGGCCCTTTGGAAGTCATGGTGACTCTTTAATCTCATAGAGCACTTATAGAATATTCCTGAGCAGTCTCCTGGTTTTCCCTGTTCTACCTGGCCTGCCTGCCCTCCCAGGCAAAGATGCAGCCGACACCCAAGGACTGTTCACTGAGGGACACATGGCTCTTTGGAGACCCAGCTGTTGAATGAAGACCCAAAACCCCTGTCCCCTTCCCTGTGTGTCTGTCCACATGGGACTCCCCAGATAATTAAAGTATCAGTTTCTAGTTTCAGGAGAACAAAAGTCAGCCAAGCAGCTGCACTTCTCAGAGGCCTGAGGAAAACCTGTCCTTGACGATTTGGTTGGCATGTGCATAAGAGAGGGATTAGCTGCTTCAGAGGAGTGGTGATGGGTTACAGCCTTTGACATCCTATTCCAATTCAAGAAGGCTGGGGAGGGCTGAATCATATCAGGAAGCTAGGGGAAATCCATGGGGACCCACAGGAACAACTCCCCCATGTCAGTCCAGAGTTCGTCACCCCTTGAGACTGACAGCTTTGGTCAAGTCTCGAGTTTTCCTACAATAAGACCTCTGACTTGCCCCCTTTGCTGAACCTGTAAGGAGTTGGGCTGCAGAGAAACAGAGACCCAAGAGGTAGGCCACACTGGAGCCTCAGCCTCCTTGAACTCCCTGGAGCCAGGGCAGCTCTGGGGGCCCCTGAGTCCTTTAGGCTCACCCACTCTGTTGTCCTCTCTGAGTTTAGCCCCATCACCTATTCCTGAGGCTTCAGGATATACCAGAAGCCACTCTGATCTGTCTGCCCTCAGTGAAAGGGTTTTCTGCACTCACCTAAGCCTCTTCAAATGGCCCCTCATGGAATAGATACACAGAAGGGTCTAGGCCCCCAACTCAGTGTCCCATCCCCAAGTGTCCATAGAGCTGAGAATGCAGGCTGAGAGCCAGACAAGCTCATTCAAGTGCTGGTTCCTCTCCCAAACAAACAGTGACCCTGGGCAAATCACTTAGCTTCTCCCAGTCACAACTTAATAGGGCTATAAGTGAGTATTAAATGAGTGTCTCAACACAGAAGCAAGCAGTCAGCACATGGCCCTTGCTTCTTACTGTTATTACCCTGCCTTTAAAATTTCCAAGGGAAAGTTGTACTATTGTATCCTTTGTTGACCTACCTGGATTGACATCACATTCACTGGACCTAAGAAGGCAGATGTCAGGGCACAGTTCTGTCAAACAAGAAGCAGGACACTTCTGTGAACTGGGGCAGACTCCTATGCCTCGATTTCATCACCTGGAAAATAGAAATAATAGTAGTGCTTAATCTCAACAATTTTTTAAATATTATTGATATTACTTAAGTAGAACTGTGTGTGGCACATAATACTCATAGTATAAATGATAACAGATAATAATTAACAATTTCATGTTACTCACAACAACATATTTAACAATCCAAGGACTCTTACACCTGGATATACAGCTGGCAGGCAGGCATTGAAAAAAAGTTCCTCATCACTTTGTACTAGGGAGATGCAAGTCCAAACCACAAAGAGATATCATCTCACACCTGCAACACTGGCTGATCTCCAGAAGACTGCTAACAACAAGTGCTGGTGAGGATGTGGAGAAAGAGGAGGCTCTATATACTGCTGGTGGGAATGGAAATGGATGCAGTCACTCTGGAAAGCAGTATGAACCTTCTTCAAAAGAATTGAAAATAGAGTGATCTGATGACCCAGCAATACAACATCTGGGTGTCTATTCAAAGAATACGAAGGCATCAACATGAAGAGTTAGAGGCACTACGATGTTTACCGCAGCAGTATTTATACGAGCTAAGATGTGGAAACAACCCGAGTGTCCACTGACCGATGACTAGAGAAGGAAAATATGTACACAGGGGAATGCTATTCCGCTCCAGAGGAATGGAAAGAACTCAAGGGTATTATGCAAAGCAAAACAAAGACAAATATTAGATGATCTCAACTCTATGTGCAATGTAAGGAAATTAAGCGGAGAATGGACAAAACAAAGTGAAAATAAATAGAGTGGATGTTGAAAACAGGTAACAAGTGAAGAGGAAGGGAGTTGGGAGCAGGGGTGGAGGAGGTATAATGGATGGTGGTGTGTGTTGCGTTGTTTTCTTTAAAACTATTTTTGTTTTGTTTTTATTTTAAATATAGTACTTTTTCCTTACTTTGTTGTTAATTTTTAGACAATATATGATTTATCCCCTCAGTTCACCATAGTTCTTCCACCACAAAAACCTCCATAACCCATCAGCATAGTCCCTTATGCTTGTCACCCCACCTTGTATTCACCCCTCCCCTCCTGGATGCCTAACATCTATGATCAGTTTTCAAGGTTTGTCTTTGATCCTTTGCTTTGTTTCTCTATATTCCACATACAAGTGAAACCATCTGATATTTATATTTTTCCTTCTGAGTTATTTCCCTGAGCATGATCCCTTCCAGCTCCATTCATGTTGCTGCAAATGGCATGAGTTTATCTTTTTTGATAGCTGAGTAGCATCCCACTGTGTATATATACCATATCTTCTTGATCTATTCCTCTGTTTGGAGGCATTTAGGTTGTTTCCATTTCTAGGCTATTGTAAATAGTGCTACTTAAAACATAGGGGTGTAGGTTTCCTTTCAAATTAGTGTTGTTGTTGTTGTTGTTGTTTCCCGTTGGGTAGATTCCTAGGACTGCAATAGCTGGGTCATATGGCAGACCCATGTCTAGTGTTTTAAGAAAACTCCACACAGCTTTCCATAGTGGTTGACTAGTTATTACAATCCCACCAGCAGTGTAAAAGGGTTCCTTTTTTCCACATCCTCTACAGCACTTGTTCTGTTTTTGTTTTTGTCTTTTAATATGGGCAATCTCACTGGTGTGAAGTAGTAGCTTACTGTGGTTTTGATTTGCATTTCCCTGATAATAAAAGAAGATGAACATGTTATCATATTCCTGTTGGCCATTTGTATTTCTTCTTTGGAGAAGTGTCTACTTAGCTTTTCTGCCTATTTTTTGAGTGAACTGTTTTGTTTTGAGTTGTATAAGCTCTTTGTAGATCTTCCATATCAGTCCCTTATCAGATGTATGGTGTGCAAATATTTTCTCCCATTCAGTGGGGTGTGTTTTTGTTTTGGTTACTGTCTCTTGCTGTACAGAAGCTTTTTAGTTTGATATAGTCCCAGCTGTTTATATTCTCCTTTGTTTTCCAAGTTTCTGGAGATGATTTAAAAAGTTTTTTTTTTTTAAATAAAAGACTAAAATATGGGTGGGGGGAGGGAGAGAAAAATCTTGGACTCCAGTCCCACCGTGGATTCAATAGCTAAATGGTTTTAAAGTCAAGAATTGTTAATTGGACACCTGGCCTCTTGAAAAGCTAATAAATGCTATGTTTTCTTTTCCCTGAAAAAAACTGCACAGACTAGCTTGCAAACAACTCCAGGAGATTCTTGGATCTCCCTGAGGTCATCAGTCTGACTCCTTGGTTCCTGTGTGAGGAATCCCTGCCTTCGACCATCCTGAAGTCTGCTTGAGTGCTTCAGTAACAGGAGCCTCGCAACTCACAAAGCAGCTCACTCTGTGGTTGCCAAAGTCAAAGTGCTGAAAAGGTTTAAAACTCTTCCTAAGTGTTCTTTGGAATTGATGTTTCTGTGTCCTTTGGGTAAATACCTAGGAGTGGAATTGCTGGATCATATGGAAGCTCTATGTTTAGTAGGTCCAGAAATCTCCACACAGCTCTCCACAGTGGTTGGACCAGTTTGCACTCCCACCAACAGTGCAGAAGAGTTCCTTTTTCTCCACACCCTCGCCAGCATTTGTTGTTGCTAGTTTTTTTAATATGTGCCATTAAAAAGAACACCTGCACCCCTATGTTTATAGCAGCACTGTTTACAATAGCTAAGCTTTGGAAACAACCCAAATGCCCAAAAATAGATGACTGGATCAAGAAGATGTGGTACATATATACCATGGAATATTACTCAGCATTCAAAAAAGATAAACACATGCAATTTGCAGCAACATGGATGGCGCTGGAAGGGATCATGCTCAGCGAAATAAGCCAAAAAGAAAAAGAAAAATACCGGATGGTCTCACTCATAGCAGGAATCTAGAAAACTTAAATAAGGGACCAGGAAAATGAATAACTATAAGAAAGTGAAAATCAAAATCAACAAAAAACTATGAACCAGAGACACTTTTAGGCGGGCGGGGGCGGGAGGGGAGGGATTGGGGTCAGAATGGGGGGCTGCAATTGTATGGGGAATATAACAATAAAATTTAAAAAAAAAAAAAAAAAAAAGAAAGACTATGAGGAGACATAATAAGAACACTACAGAACCATTAACGTGTACAATTCACATAGAGGGAAAGTAATTTTACCAAAAGTATTCTGCGTAATGTGTTGCTTCCTTAATAATTATATTTGGTTATATTTAATCTATAAATATACTTGATTCTAATTAATTTAAAAAAAAATAAAATAAAATAAAACTCTTCCTAAGTCAGGACACGAAAAGATGCTTCCTGAGTTCCACCTGAAAATCAACACAGAGGGAGAATACTGCCTTTTTCAGGGGCTATCCCTGACCTACTTGAAGGCTGGGGCCATCCTGTGACAGTCTGATTCTCTCAGGCTCAGCTTGCCAGTCCTCTCACTATTGTATGTGATTGTGTCCATGCCCTTTGCCATCCAGGTCACCCACTCAAACCACCTCCAGACCATTGTGCTTTATTTATTAACTCCTCCCAAGCCTGTGCTTGTGTTCTCAGCCACCACATTGCACCAGTTTGGTAGGCACGTAACTGACCCCAAGTTCCGGGCATGTGAGAGCAGAGGTCCATGCAATGCACACCCCTACTCCAACCTTAAGTTTAGGTGATCAATCTTTTGAAATTGAGCCTGCCACTACATCCAATTAAGTATGGTCTTGCGAGTTTCTTCCCTATCACTCCACAACTTTGGGAAGTGTTTGAAATTGACATTCTATTACCCAGAGTATTAATTCTGCCTCTCAGCTTTGAGCCATTTGCTAATCCCATACAGGATAAGGAAATCAATGAGACTTGTGCATCTTCCCCTGTCAAGCTCTAGGCAAAGTGCTTCATACATATTCTCATTCCGTCTTCACACCAGGTCTATAAAATAGATGGTGACATCTACACTAGCATCCCTGGTTTATAAACAAGAAAACTGCGTCTGATAAAGACTCAGTCACTTGCAGAAGGTCACCTAGGCACCAAATAGGTAAGCCAGTATTTCAGCCCACGCCTGTCTGAGTCACACCCTCAGCATTTCCACATCGAATAACATTTTTCTAAAAATGTCTGTCTCTCCAACTAGACTGTGGGATCTCTGACAATGAAGAGTAGGTTTTTTGTCTCTGAATTCCCAGCTCTTGGCAAGTGTCTGTCACAAGGTAGATACTTTATGACTAGTGGAGGAGGGAGGACAAGGAAAGGGGTCACTGGGGGCTGGTGTGCTGGGAAGAAATGCTATTTGGAGCTAAGTCCTGAAGTTCAGGTTTTTCTCTTAGAGTATTTATTCACCCTTATAAAAAATTAAGATATATCATTTTCCCCTGCTCTCTGATGCTATAATATTCCTTTGAAACGTTTCATGAGACAAATGGTGTAAAGCAAAGAAACAATTACTGTGCATTTATATGAAAAAATTTTAAGCCATCCCAGACTCAAAAGAATACCTACCAAATCATACAAAGTAACACATAAACCTAAAATAACACTCACGTCTAGCACGAGAAGGAATGAGATGATAAATACACAGCCTGCATAGTGTCGTTCTGGAGAAGGAGCCCGCCAGGGCCACTCTTGCTGCTTTGGGTGTGAGCTGCTTCTATAATGAACACGAGTTTGCTTTTTGCCTTTTGTCGTAATAGGTGACAACAGGTACTAAGATAGGTTTTTTGTACAAGCCAACTGTCTGTGACACGAACTTTCAAAAATCAGGGTATAACTATATTGTCATCCACATGGGGCCAGCAGTCTCTGTGTCCCCAGCCCCAGGATCACCGTGGCCCTAGGGTTATGACACTCATGCACACAAATCATTGGAAGCTGACCCCTAATAGGGGGCCCTACACCCCTCCCACATCCCACCCACCCCTGAGTTCAGCGATCTGCTCTCCAGCGCACTTCCCCACACACCACCCACAGCTGACTTCTTCAGCACAAGAGTCCACAGGTTGGGAGGGAGAAGATTTAGGAAGCCTGTGACTGAGATTTCTCAAATGTTCTGCAGGGACACCAAATTCCTGATTAACTCAAACGCTCTTTTCCATAAAACAGATTTTTGAGCAAACTCAAAGAGCTTTTGTACTAAGGAATCCGGTTAAGGGGAAAGGCTTATTATAAAGTGACCCAGACAACACAGGTGTCAAAGTACCATCTAGGCATTGAACCAATTCCATCCATACTGCTGTTTTATACACACACCTATCACAACGTATGACCCCTAGGAAAGCCTGGTCAAGGTCCTAATTCTTCTGAAAACTTTCAAGCGTAGTTTCCTTAAGCAGATGTCTGTGGGTGAATAGACTCAGCCCTGGGAGGTTACATGGTCCCTGCGATGGCGTTCTGGAGAACGGTCCAAAGCGCCATCTTGTGGCTACTTCACAACTTGCATATTACTGCTACTGGAGCACCTGACATTGGCGCCATCAGAAGGGAAGGCAAACTGGGGCAAGGCATGGCTGGCCTCACCATTTTCATCTCAGCTATTGACAATAAAAATCAATGTAGAATATTTCCTCACTGCAAAATCTATCCCTTTGAGCCAACAAGAAAGCTGCAAAATGTACTGGGTAAAAGCAGAACCCTGGAATCAGATACAGTCGCCTGGGTTGGAATCCTGGTGTCACCACTAAGATCCCTTCATCAAATCACTGCCCCACCTGGAAACTCATGGTCTCCAGTGGTTCAGTGGAGATAATATCAGGCTCCATCTCATAAGGTTGCCTGAAGGATTAAACCCAATCACGCACATAAATCCTTGGCACAGTCCTTAACCCACACTGTATGTTTCCTACATTATAAAATCTTTGACACATATCTTGATTTCAGAGGTGGTAAAGCACAAAGGAAAGAAAGATCATCTTGGGTCCTTGCTTCCTATGTTCTGTGAGTGCGAATCACCTGGGCTTCACTGTGTACAACCCGTGGGGACACACCACATCACCCCCACGGCTGGCACACTTCTAAAGTGCAGCGACAACTCATCTACTGCTATACTATTATAATCAGATGTGCACATCTGGGAGGGGGCCATCAAGCTACAGGGGCCCACCACTCTCCTTGTTTTCCCTGATAATTGAAGATAGAAAAGTAACCACAGAGCACAAGGCAGGAGGGGCTTTAAGAATAGGGAAAGACAAAAAGGAAGCAGAAGAGACTCGCAGACTTGGTCCTCAAGGAGGATTAGGGATTCTCAAGCATTTCTAGTAAATATTTCAAAGGCTACAAGATGACATTGCTATTGTGCTCAGGTCAAATACTCTTATATTAGTCATTTTGTTTAATCCCAATCGTCATTAACTTTTGTAGCTGTCCTAAAAGTTAACATTTATTGAAATCTATTATGTACAGTGACAAGCACATTGCTGTATGTTATGTGCACAACCACCCTGAGAAACAGGCACTGTAAAATCTGCATTTCATAGGAGACGAAATCAAAGCCCAGAGAAGCTGAATAATTGACCCCCTTCCTCAGCAAGAGCATCTCAGCATCACTCTTTCCTTTGGAAGCCCCCCTTCCCAGCCTGCAAGGCCTGAGGGGGCTATAAATCATGACATCCACCACTGCCTGACCCCAGCAGAAGGGGACGGGCATCTAGGAACCAGGATGGCCAATCAAAGCCCAGCCTCCTGCCTCCAGCACACTGTGTGGCTGAGATGCAGACACATGACCCAGGAAAGTCAATCAGGGATATCACAAGATTTACTAGAAGGAAGTTAGAGGTTTCTCTCTTTTCTTTGATCACAAGCCAAAAGAATGTGGACTCCGGCACCAGAGGTCATCTTTGGATTCCTGTGAGCAAAACCCGCCTAAGAACAAAGCCAAGGCAGAGAAGGAATCAGAGCGGCAAAATGGAGGGACAGAACTAAGACTACGCGGGTTAGTCCGGACCTAGCTTTCCCTGGAAGTACACCAGTTCTCTCTTCCCAGGTATAGGAGCAAACTCTTTCTGTTTTTGTTTATGGTAGTTAGAGTCGTCTCTGTCAGTTGTAATCAAAAGAAATATAAACACATCAATAAAGGTTTAAAAAAAAGGAAAAAATAAGGTCGAGTTGAAGCAAATAAATAATATTTACATTAGCTTTACAATTAATAAGGCTTTAAAAAATAAGGCTTTTAAAAATAATTAAATACAAATAGCAGCACTATTGAATTAAAAATGGACATAATTATTCTGTAATATAATACATTTTAAAGCCAGGAATTTCAACCTATTACAGTGAAGAGTTATCATAGAAGAACCATTTCCAAGAAAGGTCAAAAAGAAGTGGTTGTGGAGTATACCAGAACCTTTTCTGGGAGTTTTGTATTGTTAAATTTGACCATTTGGAATCTGTGTGGTGATATGGAAATATCTTCAGGAACTACTGAATAAACCACTTAAACCAATAATCCCATTTGTAGGATTGTATCTTAAAAGAATCCCAACAAGGAAATTAATACCTACATGGAGATGTTCACTGCAGCATTATTTACTGTAAGTTAAAATAACTAAATAAAAATAAAAGCAAACTCAAAAAGTTAGGATACAACTGAGTATGCTGTTATATTGATTTCATTTTATATATATATATATATATATAAAAAATTAGGCAAACTATTCATACAGAACCTATTATAGAAATATTTATTCAAACATTTGTTGAGTACCAACAATAGTTTACTGAGTTATTATGAATTATTTATTTTACATGCTTCATGTAAAACAGTTTAAGTATTAGATGATTTTTTTTTTTATTTGTGCATACAAGAACTGGAGTGTAGGCCAAAGGTTCAGGGAGTGAGAGGATTCACCAGAGATGGAGTGGGGAGCAGAACAGGCAGACTGCCTGAAATACACTGCTGAGGGGAGCAGTGGGCAAGGCAGGAGAGGTCTGCTATGCCATGTGGGTTGGTCCCTGGCTGGCCAGGGATCGAACTCACGCGGCAGTGGTTGGTGAGAGCTCCACAGCACTGTCTGTAGCACCTGTGCCACCATAGAGACCCAAGTATTGGGTGATTTTTAACAAACCGTTTTTTAGGTGTGTAAGCTAACAGTTTTAACAAGCCATTTTTTAGTGACTGTGGCAACTGAAGAATTTGAAGTGTGTGGTGCAAGAGGAGTCCACACACATACCCACTCTGCAACACCCCATGTGGCAGCTGAAGGCTGAGAAGGTGTGAGGATAGGCCAAATCAGGCCTTTGAGGGCACCATTTACTGCTTTTTTTTTTTTTTTTTTAGATTTTCCCCGTAAAATGACCAGTTTATTTAATGCTAAAATATATTTAATATATAATTTTTCTATAGGATGGTAAGTATTGCATTTTTTAAATTTAAATATTTTATTTTATATAATTCTTACATCTTTTTTCATCTTTGCACAATGCATGCATTTTCATTTTGGTTATATTCCCCAAACAATTGCACACCCCCCCCTTATTTTGACTCTAGTCCTTCCTTTCCCCGCCACTCCCCCCCGCCCCCCGTAGTGTGTCTCTGGTTTATAGTTGCTTGTTGATTTTGATTTTTACTTTGTATCGATTAGTCTTTTTCCTGGTCTCTTATTTAGGTTTTCTAAATTCCTGCTATGAGTGAGACCATCCGGTATTTTTCTTTTTCTTTCTGACTTATACCATTTGCTGCTTTGAGTGCCTTTTCCAACTCATGTTCCAGGAGCAGGTGGAGGAAGAGCCTTCATCAAGACTGTACCAGGGCTCAGCACCATGCTGGGGAATTTGTTTCCACAGTCTACAGCAACCCTTGCAATGATCCCTAGGGAAGAGGTCATAATCCCTTATTTATAAGGATAGTGAGTTCAGAGAGATTGCAAGGTTGGCTCATGTCAGGGGCAGAGCTGCTAATGCACAGGTGTTCAAATAGCCCATGAGCAGGAGAAACCGTGGAGACCACACAGTCAGAGCAGAGGATTTGCAGTGGGAATGGGCTGGGGGACTTTGAAAATCAGGTAAAAGGATATTTGTGCAATAAATAGAGGATGGGGCCTCCCCTGGTGGCGCAGCAGTTAAGCACTGGGCTGCGAAGCTGCCCACAGCCTCTGCAGCACCGGTTCGATCCCCGACCACCGGCAAGGGTCCCACATGGCGCACAGACCTCTCCTGCCACGCCTGCTGCTCCCCTCAGCAGCGTACTTCATCAGTCTGCCTGTTCTGCTCCCCGCTCTGGCTCTGGTGAATTCTCTCACCCTCCCACGCTTCTGACTGTACCCAGTGCTTGTATAAATAAATCTTTTTTAAAAATTAAAAAATAAAAAAAAATTAATAGAGGATGGGCTAGGACCTGTGCTCTAAAGCCTGGAATGGGGAAAACAATCATTTTATATAAATGGCTACCATTGCTACCCTCAAAATCCCCCATGACAAAATTGCCTGTGATTATCTCACCTCATCCTCCTAGCAGGCCTTCAGTCAGGCATTATTATCCCATTTTACAGATTAGGACACTTAGATAAGTGTCACAACCAGGCTACAAACCTAGTAAGAATCTATTCTCTCTCCTGGACACACACAGCCTCTCTGGATCTCAGCCCTCTCCACACCTGGACAGTCTGTGGCACGTTTCCAAACTCTGGAGACAGAGGGTGCTGGGGTGGTGTAGCCCATGTGGCTCTGAGGGGCCTGAGGTTCCAAATAGCAGCAGCACAGCTGGTAGGAGACAGAGGCCCAGCTCCCCACTAATTGTCCCCCTTTGTGGTGTTCAGTTAAGGACTCAGAAGAAACCAATCTTTGTGTCTTTTCATGGTTAAAATTCTACATGGAACAGAAACCTCAAAGCAGCCACCAAGCCAGTCTTTGTTGGGTTTCTAGGCAGTAGGGACGCTGCATCTCAACACTTAGCGCTGAGAGAGAAAGGGGCTCAGTTATTCAAAGGGGAGTTCAACAAGAGCCTTTTTCTCCCCAGTCCTTGCAATGTTGGACTCACTTTTAATCCCCGGAAGAAATGCTGGATCCCTTTTCTCCTCCACATTGCATCGTTGTTCCTGAGAGTTCAGTAGCTGGTGGCAGAAGATTTTCATGAGTAGCTGGGCGGTCCCCATTTTCGGCCCCATTCTGGTAGAAACAGTTTAGATTTCAGAACCTTGAAACCTTTATTTTTGAAAAACCTCAACACACTCAGAAATATATATAAGTTCAAGTTTCTAATACTAAGAAATAGAAGCACTGTGGTTTCACAAACAAATCTCAAATGCATTCCTCCCAAATAGGGTGCAGGCAGCATTCAGAATATTCTAATCCATAGGAGTTTGGGCTTGATGTGCTTGTCCCAAAGAGCATATTTATCTTGGAGAAAAAGGTCTAAGGCATGTTGAGGTGCCTGAATTTTCCAAATATCCTCTCCCAGGTAGGAAAGGGACTGTTTCTAGCTTTATGAAGAATAAACAGAAAGATGTATTGCCTTTTGGGGGACCCCAAGTTTCCCTCTGGACCAATCATCAACATCATCATCATCATCAAAACCATCCCTTAGAAGCAAGTAAAAATGTGATGGGCCTGCCTGAGGCATGTGACATGTTTTATTTCCTCCAATCCGCAAATTTTCCAGACAAGAGGACTGCTTGGCGCAGTCTGCAGATGGTGAACCCAAGGTCCGAGGTCCCAAAGAAACCAAGGTGCTAGAGGCAAATCCAGGAGTCAAGCCTAAGCATCCACTCCAGTCTGAGTCCTTCTGTCCCAGCCTCCTGCAAGCTGCCCCTCACCAACCCCTGGGCTCAGCTGCTGAGAACACTCACAAGCCTACAGATTAGACTGTGATGTTGAGGTGGGACATTGTCCTCCTCTTCCAGAGGCTTTCTGGTAACCCCCTAGCCCCCAAACAGGCTGTTGCCAAATAAATATCTCCTGACCTCTTTCCCCAGACTACATGGTTCCCCAGACACTCTCCTTTATTATCCCTCTAGTCAGATGCGTATAAAAACCCTGGGATCCTGGGATCCAACCACGACAATAGTTAAAATGCAGACATTTTCACTCTCCATTAAGGAGATATACAATCTCTATGGAAAGGAATTTGCAATACTTATCAAAACTTTTAAATGAACAGCTCTTTGTCCCAGGAATTTTACTTCTAAGAGTTTCTCCTATAATATATATGCACATATGTATATGGTATATAAATAAGGCTACTCATAAAATTGTAATAGCAAAAGACTGGCAACATTGAAATGCACATTTTATAGTTGGCAACTGTATCCAGAGGAAAATAATTCAGTCATAAAGAAAAATGAGGTGGATCTCATTGTACTGATATAGAATTAATCGCAAGATACATCAGTAAGGTACAGAAATGTATGTTTGGTGTATCTGTCAGGACCTGGCAAGAAATGTGGGCGGCACGGTCAAATAGGGCAACTGAATAATAACTTAATGAAGGAAAGTTAGTGGTGTGCTGGAGTCAGCTCTACCAACCATGAGGGCTGATTGCTACATTTTCAGAATTTTTGTGAGCCAGTTATTAAATTACTAGTAGCTTGAAATCACCATGTTGAGAGAATTTACACCACAGACATAGGAAAGGCTTACAAGCCAAGGTTTGATTTAGTTGCTTTTACCTGCACACCCTGGAAGAATTCATGAAAATGCCAGCAAAGTTAAGGGAAATCAAGTCAGCCCCTGGGGTTAGCAACAGTGAGGAAGTGTTAGCAACTAAGCCTGGAAAGAGCTAGAGTTGAGAAGTGGCTACCAAGTCAGTGTGACCACAGGGGAAGGCCATAAGACCAAGTCTTTGAGAGAGGAGATCCAGGGATGCTGTCCTCTGAGTGCTTTTCTTTCCAAGACTTTTGCGTGCGCCCACCTCCCAGTCCTCCTGTATAGAAAAGGCGGATACAGACCCCGTTAGGAGACAGGTACTGAGCTCCACCTTGTAGCTGCTCAGAACAGCTCCCTGGAGGTGGCAAAAGCTTGTCAGGAGTGACCACAGGGTTTGGAAATACTGCAGATAAAGGCTTCACCCAGAGAGTAAGAGCTTCACTGAGAAGCCAAAACTAAACTATTTATCAACACCAAGCCACACATGAAAGAAATCCTAAAGGGGTTACTGCAAAGCAACAGAGCAATGAATATCAAGGCAACAGATAGCAATAAATACAGAGAAAATATCTGAAAGATTCAGCACCCATCTATGATTAAAAACTCTAAACAAGGTGGGATTTGAAAAAAGTAACCTCAATATAATAAAGGCCATATATCATAAAGCAACGGCCAATACATTACTCAATGGAGAAAACTGGAATCCTTCCTCATCAGATGCAGCACAAGATAAGGATGCCCATTGTCACCACTTCTGTTTAACTTGGTACTAGGGGTTTTGGCCAGAGCTATCAGACAAACACAGGAACTGAAGGAAATCCAAGTTGGAAAATAAGTGAGACCCACTATTCTCAGACAATGTAATACTATATATAGAAGATCCTAAAGACTCTACCAAAAAATTATTAGAAACAATGAATGAATAGAGCCAACTGGCAGATTACAAAACCAACATACAAAACTCCATAGCCTTTTTATACACAAACAACAAACAAGAAGCAGAAGAAATGAAGCATTTATAATTGCTTCAAACAGAACTAAATACCTTGGAATCAAACTAGCAAAAAAATTAAAAGTCCTGTACAATGAGAACTACAAGATATTGTTAGGGGGAAAGGATGTCCTGAGCAAACTCCACACAGGCTTTGTGGACTCCACTCCCACTTCATCAGGACACTGGGAACTACAAATCCCATGATCACCAAAGGGAAGGTTGCGAAGACCTGAGGGTGGAGTTAAGCAACTGTGTTCTCTGTTTGAGTATTTAACCAGCCATGTGGCCGAGGGTCACTCTCTTGGCCACGCGGCATGCTTGGCTTTTTGCCAGCTCGGAGGGTCATTGGGATTCCAGGTCAGCTGAACGGGTAGGACACATTTACGAACTTATCTCCCTCTTTTTCTCCCTGAGTTATTCATTTCCCCATTTCCCCTTCCCTTGTAAATAAGCCTTTTATCAACCGTTTGTGTGTGTCTGCAGTTTAGCATTCATAAGTCCCCCTTTAAGTGTGTGGGTGAGGACCCATAGTCAGGCAAGCCATTTTATATCAGGGTTGCTCTATAACAATATTACTAAATGACATAGTGACATGAGGAGATGTACGTACCTTGCTCATGGTTGGGGAGAATCATTATAATCAAAATCACCATATTGCCTAAAATGAAATACAAATTTAACACAATGCCCATCAAAATACCAATATACTCAAAGAAACTGAACAAAAAATATTGAAATCTATATGGAGGGCCTCTCTAGGGATTAAGTCTTAGCACTATCACTGCTAAGTCCTGAGTTCCATCCATGGCCAGGGAGCTGACCCACATATGGCACAGCAGACCTCTCTTGTCTTGCCCTCTGCTCCCCACAGTAGTGTATTTCAGTCAATCTGCCTGTTCTGTTCCCCACTCTGTCTCTGGTGAATCCTCTCACACACACACACACACACACACACACACACACACACACACACCCCAGCACCTCTGGCCTGTACTCCAGTTCTTGTATGCATAAATAAATAAATCTTTTTTTTAAAAAAGTCCATACATTCCATAATGTTCACAGCAGCCAGGATATAGAAGCAACCTAAATGTACGCTGAAGATGACTGGACCAAGAAGATGTGGTATAACCTCACCATGGAGTATTATACAGTCATATGAAAGGGTGAAATACAGCCAATGTCAACGAAATGGAGGGAATTTGACAGTTATGTGCAGCAAAGTCAGAATGATAAAAACAAATACTGTACATTTACATATCAGACAATTCAATAACAAAAGACACTTTCAAGAAAATAGTAGACATTGAAAAACTGAATTATAGGGGTAGAGGAGAGGTACACGGGGACACAAGGGATGGGAAGGGAGTCTTGGTAATATTTTCAAGATCTCTTTTCTTTTTCTAAGGCTCTCATTAAAAAAAAAAACTTCATCCACAAATTCATCTGATACTTTTGCCTCCTGCTCCCTCACTCTTTTTAAAAACTCTCCCTTGAGAGGAAGAATTGCCCCTGGGAAGTCAATCTTAAAATCTCCCGAGGCTGGATACACTGGTCAAAAGGAAGCTCATCAGAGGCCCTTCAGTCACTGGCTATATACATATGCTGAGGCCTGCAACAGGACAAAATGCCTAAACAGAAAGCTATAGCATCTTTGGTTTACATTTAATAAATACCAAAAATACTCTGAAATTTTGTCACAGGACCTATAAATTTTTGGCAGGCTTTTAAAAATATTAACTCATAGTGTAATATGCAATTCTAGTAATATGTGATCTAGAAAAAGAGGTAAATTCTCTCTAGTCTGTCTTTTTTAATAAACTCATTGGAGATGGTGTTCAAATTTAAATGGTAGCCCTCCCTGAATGGGGTTGAGGGAGAGCCAATTGACTCTTCTGCCCCCCTGCCCTGCAGCACTCCCCACTTTCCTTATGGAGCACTTGCTAAGTAACAGCCATGTATGGAGCATGGACACATACACAGCACCAATTCACTGCCAGGAGATCTTCTGAAAACCCTATTCAGGAGGGAAGGGAAGGGGCTGACCAGGAGGGCCCAGCCTCCACAGCCACCGCAGGGGGTCCAGGAATAATACTAGGATCTGGAAAAGTCTTGCGTCCTGGTGATCCAGATGAAAAGACTGAGCCCCAGAAAAAACGAAGGATCTCAGCCTAGTCCCAGGTCTGTCCCATCTCCCCTTCCCAGTATTCTTCATGGAATCACACTGTCGCTGATTGAGGCTCAGGGAAAGATCATCTTTATTGTGACAAAAAGGTGACCGGAGGACAAGCCACCTGAGTACACTGGACTTGATTGCCTAGGAAACAATCGTGAGCTTCCACAAGTGCCCAGAGCCATAGGAGCTGAGTTCTGAAAAGCCTCCAGCAGCTCACCTGGCCCTAAGGTCACAAAGGGAACACAGCCTTCTTATAAGACCTTGGCAGGGGAGAACAGCCCTGGAGGCTCAAACCCTGTAAAGGACAGGAAGCTGAGGGCCCAGAAACAGAGGCACTGGCCCCAACCCCACTAGGCACCTAGGTGCAGTATCATAGCTGCTTGGTGGACAGAGCCAGGCCTGGGACACAGGCGGCTAGGAGGGCAGGGAACAGCTAAAGATCAGGGGGTTGGCCAGCTGCATTGTGACCCCTCCCATGTAAAACTGGAAGCAACAACAACCTCTTTGTGACCAGGTGTAGAGAAAATGACTTTTAACAATTTTAGTGGAAAAGTATGAGAAAGAAACAAACCACAGCTTTCCTTTTGAAATGAACACAAGCATTTGAAAAAAAAATCATACTTATTCTGGAGAGTAAAAAAAGAAACATCCACCTATTCTTGATCCTTTCAAGTTGGAGGAGCTTTTGTTTGTTGCTTATGCTTTGAGTCTCCACTTAAGTGCTCCCTCCTCCCTGAAGCCTACCTGGTTCACTCACCTAAATGCAGAATGCCCTTGTTCTCCTCCATGAGGATGCTGGCAACTTACCCATCTCCTTCCTATACTGTGACTGCCCAAGAGCAGAACTTGGGGGTCAAGACCTCTTTGGGACACACCCAAGTTTCAGTCAAGAACCCAAACTTGGTAGGTTCTTAGCAAATATTTGAGACCAACTAAATGAATAGCTACTGGCCTCATGATTACTTACAATAAAGTACAAAAAAATTATACATTCATCTTCATTATGAATCTTAATATCAGGAAATCAGAAGACCTAAGTAAACAAACTTTAACAACCACCCTTTAAGAAACAAGTTATGTTGCACTTACAATGTTCCAATTCAATGGGTGATCTTCCAAAGGTCTCTTTCCGCTCTCAGATTCTAGAACATCCAGGTGTTGTGTTGTCTAGAGGTGACAAGCTCTAGACAGAAGGAAGCAATGTCCAGAGGAAGTGTCAAGCTGCAATAGGATCAGATTCTACTTTAAATTTTGTTTATTTATAGTTTTCCTTTTTTTGAATGTGGAATATATACAATAATTGTAGTTTTTAAAAAGATGTGTCAAGAGAAACGATTTTTCTCCTATTCCTATCCCCATCAACTCTCTAGACAACTTTTTGCACATGTTACAGAGTTTCTTTATGCTTAGACACAAGATGGGTGTTTATTTGATATCTCCTTTCTATAGAGACTACAGTCATGCGTCACTTAACAACAGGGATGTGTTGTGGGAAATGCATCATTAGGTGATTTTATCATGGATTAATGTGAAATAGAGAGTAGTTGCACAAACCTGGGTGGCCACAACTTGCTACACACCTAGCTACAGTTCATCACTGACTGAGATGCTTTCCAATGGCACCAACCGCATACACCTGCTCCACGCCTGCATCTATGCGGTTGTTTTTATTTTTCTCTCAATATAATTTGGAGAGCTTTCCACATCAGTAGATAAAGAGCTTGCTCATTATCTTTCTGCTACATAGCAATTGTTTTATAACATACTTTATTTACCACTTCTCTATTAAGTGGTAGATCATCTGCTATGTAGACATTCAATGTTTGTCTTTGCCATTTTGACTTTACAATAAGTAATTTCCTTAAACTCCTTCCATTTTGCAGTAAATGGCAACATTTTGTATTTCCTTATGGCTGAATAGTACTCAATGATGTGGACAGGCCACATCTTCTCGACCTAATCTTCTGTCAGTGGACACTTAGGCGGCTTCCATGTCCTAGTTATTGTAAATAGTGCCTCAACAAACATAGTAGAGCATACAATTTTTTGAGTTGATAGTTTTATGTTCTTCAAATAGATGCCCAAGCCCAGGAATTCTGGGTCATATAGTATCTCCATTTTTATTGTTTTGCTCTTTAATGGTAAATCCAGATTGCTTTCACTTCCTCTTTTCATATATCAAACTTTACTGTAGTGACACACTTAAATCATTTCACAGATATGCAGAAATTCCATGTTGCTTTTCTAATCCTTGCCTGCTCAGGTTTTGATAGAGTCTCTCTGAGCTTCTCAAGCCAACCCAGACCCCTCTCTTTATCCACCTCTTCCTATGGCTTATTTTTGAGATCCCCTGGTGCTCACAAGAAAGGATAGAACTGGCAGTCTAGTCTCCCCAACCCATTCTGGTACTGTGCTTCTGAACCTCATCATTGCCCCTCGGACCTCAGTCCACTCCCCTCCCCACACCACAACATACCTAGCCCAGTGCAAGCCTGTGCACCCATTGCAAGCCTGAGCGCCCAGTGGGTGACTCAGAAACCCTAGAATCCAGGCAGTGCCTTATAAAACCGTCACTCCTTTCACCAACAGGTGGCACTGCTTTCCACCTTTAGCCAGCTGAGATGCTATATGGAAACACTGCTACTTAAAATATTTATCACCAACTTCCAACTTTAATAAAACCTACTTTAAAAACTGTCACTCCAGAGTCAGGGACTCACATCCAATTGGCCTGATTTCAGTTACATTATATGTATATTCGATCTAAATTCGCTTTCTGGACTCTACACTGGAAGAGAAGGGAACTTCATTTTGGTATTCAAGCCAAGCTTTACATATTCCAGCTGTCTCTCTGCATGTATGTTAAAGATTGATATAGTGCCAGAATTGTACTTATATCTTAGTTAAGCCGTAGTGCCTATGAACTTATCAAACTTGCTTATTTGACTTATATTACAGTTGCTGTAATCAAATCTGCTGTTTTCAGTTACAGCCAATAATTTAATTTTAAAACACCTAGGATTTAAGAGCAGACAACCTGTTTAATATGTTTTCCCTAGTAACTAATGCTAAAGGGTGATACATTAAATATGCTTGTTTATTATATTTTTAAGTTAAAATGTGGTTAGAGGTAAGAGAGTTGGTAGAAATGAGTGAGAGAAAACCCTATGCAAGTTGAGATAGTCCCCAAATAGTGAGCTAGTTAGACTCTTCATATTTTGTAACACTCATGGTCGGCAAATGCTTTTTCACTGTCAATAAATGCATATCCTACCAGGAAAAAAAAAAAAAAGAAGAAGAAACTCTGGCAGATGGGATGTAGCTTTAAAATTGACTTTTCCACACTTCTCTCTCCATCATCCACCCAACAACCTAAGGCCACAACTAGAGTTTCTCTGTTATCTCCCTTCCCTGGTTTTTTCCACATAGCAAAAGTGTCTAGTTTGTGTGGTTTCTTATGTATTAGAGACAGACTTGCCTAGTGGCTACAAATTTGGCCTCTAGAATCAGATTTATGTTCAAAATCTGATTCCACCACCAACTTGCTATGTGACCTTTGGCAACTGACTTCAACTGCCTGAACTTCCACTGGCCCCTCCACATGACAGAAGAACCTCAGTGCGCACCTCACCAACGGTATGAGGATTAAGTCAGGCAGCACACTAGCACAGTGCTAGGCGCATGGTAAGCACTCAGTAGATATCTGTTCTTACCCATGGGATGTTGTTAAGCATTGTCCATAGTAGTTTCATCTCACTCCTGGGGGCTTTCTAATACACACTGGTCCTGCAACATTTCTCCACACACTACCAGCTCGTCCCTACCCCAGAGTCTGCACGTACTAGGACCACAGCTGGAAGGCCCTTCCTCTACATCTCCCCAGAGCTGGCTCCCCATCCTGGGACTCTCCTCAGCGCTCATCCCACCACCCTAGCTGCAATAACTTTGTCCTGTTTTACCCCACAGTGGCACCCTGTTTATTTATCACTCCTTACTACCGCTGTTATCTTAAGTGTTTATTTCTTTTCATGCGGGTGGTCTGTTTTCCCATCAGAATGTAAGCTGCAGGAGGGCCGCTCCATTGGGTTTCCAGGCTTCCCAGCACAACACACATGGTGGGGGGGGGGCACTCCAAAAATGGCAGGGTGAATGAGAGCAGGAAGGCAGAGCAGGAAGGCTGAAATTCTGACCACTGTTTATTTCACCCACCCATGTTCTGGTGCCCAAGTAGACCACCAGCACTTTGAGGGCAGGAATGGGGTCTTCTCTCACCATATAGCCCTCAGCCAGACTCCTGTGGATGCTCAGTGGGCTGAATCAAGACTTGGGAGACGGTGGGGAACAACTGAGAGGGCTGAATGGGCCCTTTATCCACTTAGACATTCCATCACAGGACAATTCCTGGGAATGACAGAGACGCGATGCTGGCCCCTGCTACTCGAACAGGCTTTCCTAGAACCCTCAGAGGTTCTAAGGTTCCAACTCAGAGGTGGGCCTCCTGATGATCCTGACCAAAGCCACCCTCCCTGGCCCAGCAGTTACTCCTCATCACATCACCCTACCTCTTACCCCTCACTGCAGTATACATCTATGGGTGGTTTATATATTTATTTGTTTGCCCCTTCCTTGTCTGTGTCTGTAACTGAGCTGAAAGTTCCATGCAGAGGCTAGTGCCCTGTCCAGCTTATTAACCATTCCAATGGGAGGGGGAGGGGTTCTCTCCCTGCCGGTGGCCACCCTCCCTGGTGAGCCCTGTCCACAGCTGCTGCTTGTTCCCCACTCTGCTCCAAGGAGTTCCTCCTCTTCCGTGCCCCTCAGGGATGGCTATTTTCTGTCTTGGACTGGACACCCTGCTCATATCCACTCCTACACTGTTTAGAGAAACTTGCTCACACAGCTCTCTTTCAGAGAGAGAAGAAACATCCACTCTAGCAGGTGCAGAGCTCTCCTCTGAGCTCCAACATTGTGATTCAGAGACTCCCAAGGGTTCAAATCATCCTATGGGAATGAGGTCAAAGTTAGGAATGTGCTCTATTCAACCAAGTTAGAAATGCTCCCATGCCCAGAGAGGTCCGTCTTCAACATGCCCCACTCAGAAGTACACAGCTTCCAACTCTGTAGGCCTAACCCTCTCCATGCTGCATCCCCTCTTCAGCCCAGGCTCTGCCATGAGCTGGAGGTCAGTGAGGCAAGCACTAGCAGGGCACATGCACTATACCATTTAAAACACATTCAAATCCATGTCCGCATTCAGCCACAAAACATATTGGGCACCTCTTATGTGGGGGGACTCTGTTCCAGACATTGGAACGGTTAATAAGCTGGACAGGGCACTAGCCTCCACATGGAATGTTCAGCTCAGTTACAGAGACAGACGAGGAAGGGGCAAAGAAATAAATACATAAACTACCCATAGATGTATACTGCAGGGAGGGGTAGGGGGTAGGGTGATGTGATGAGGAGTAACTGCTTGGGCCAGGGAGGGTGACTTTGGTCAGGATCATCAGGAGGCCCACCTCTGAGCAGGAGTCAGATGGGTAGAATACTCCAGGCAGAAAGAGGAACAAATGCAAAGTCCCGAGGAGTGCCAAAGGCACTAAAAGGACACAACATTTCTTTGGAACTGAGAGGACAAGGAGAAAGGAACTGGCACTAGGACTAAGGTACCACCCAGGTTGGCAGGGGGCAGATGACAGTCTTGTCAAGAACAGTTAGAATTAAAAGATGGAGGTGTTTTATTCTAAATGCAATGAAAAGCTTTAGATGGGGTTTAAGCAAGGAAATTAAGTCATCTTTTACCCAGGAAAACTGACTTAACAGAACAATGACTGAATGAATGGAATGGAATTAACCAATGTAAACCAATGTATATAAGTAACCTAGTGTCTCGATGCTGAAGTCAATCTGAGTCCTTCAGTGATGTGGGGCAAGAAGTCTTAGCCACAACTCTAGGACTGTGAACTTTACACCAAAGACCACCGAGAATATGCAGAACACAGAGAGTACCCCCTTATCACTCAGAAGGGCCACACACAGTGGCTCTGCAGCCCAGCTCGGCCTCTGCTACTTCCTAAGTTCCACTCTATGCAGATAGGGATACCAGAGCGGTGAGGTCATGGCTGATGTCAGGCTGTAGGTGACTCCCCAAGAGCCCGGGTGTGGGCAGCACTGCACTGGTGAGTCTGGAGATCTCAGGCTGCCCCTGGGCATAAATTATGGCC